TCTTTAGCACCAAATCAGTATAATATGTTTTCTGAAAAATCATGTGACATTGAAATCTAAAGTATTGGCTGCTGAGAATTCAGCTTTGCCATCCCAAGAATTAATTATTGCAGTGCATTACAACTATATGACAGGTAGATCTAAAGAAACAAAAAATATGTTTATTAGATCCAATACCCACAAAACTACTGAAAGAGTTGTTACCTGTAGCAGAAAAGCCCATTCTCAACATTACCTACTCGTCTCTGACTCTGGGTCATGTCCCAAGACCCTTCTCAAGCTGGCTGTTATTTAGCCTCTTATTAAGAAACCACAACTAGATCCAAATGAATTGGCAGATTACAGACCCATTTCAAATCTTCCATTTAGCCTATGTCTGAACCATGTCCAAGCCAGCCTATGTCTGGCTCCGGGAGCCAGAGCGCCTGACATCAAAGAAAATGTAAAAGTACTGACTAATCCTAATCGTAAATTCTCTAAGATTATTATTCACGTCGGCACTAATGATGTTCGACTAAAATAAACGTTAAAGAGGTGTGTGAACTCGCAAGTACGATGTCAGGCACTGCAATTTGCTCTGGCCCCCTTCCTGTTCGAAGGAGTGATGACTGAGATAGTTAGTAGACTGTCCTCACTCAATGGTGGCTGTCTAAGTGGTGTCTGCAAAATAATATAGAATTCATAGACAATTGGAAAAGTTTTTAGGGCAGACCTGACCTGTTGAAAAGAGATGGTATTCATCCCTCCTGGGATGGTGCTGCTCTTCTTTCTAGTAACTCTCTTCTCTCTCCTAGGGGCTCAGGTCAGGAAGACGACAGACTGGCTAAACCGACCGTCTGCTAGCTGTCTCACGTCACTATGTGATGGGATTTATCGGACCTCAGAGACTCTTTCACCTAGATATCATCATATGAGACTGTGTCTGTTCCCCGAATTAGGAAATACAAAAAACTTCCAAACCCATCTAAGGTTAAAAATGTAATTGATGTTCAACAAATAAAAAACAGATATAATACAAATGAACAAATGATAAATCTCGGGTTGCTGAATATTCGATCCCTTACTTCAAAAGCACTTATTGTTAATGATCTGATTACAGACTATAACCTAGATGTGCTGTGTTTGACAGAAACCTGGCTAAAGCCAAACCATTACATTACTTTAAATGAGTCCACCCTCCCCAAGATTACGGTTATAAACATGAACCTCGTATGAAAGGCAAAGGGGGAGGTGTTGCTGTAATTTATAGTAATATTTTCAGAATTACTAAGTCTAGTTTCAATATAATTCTTTTGAAGTGTTTAATGTAACAATATCTAGTGTAAATGATAAATCACGTTTGAGATTTGTGATGGGTACAGTGTACAGGCCACCAGGGCACCATACAGACTTTGATAGAAAATCAGCAAATTCTTTGATAGAGTTAGTACTGGCTGCAAATAAAGTCCTAATTGTTGGTGATTTTAATATACATGTGGATAACGAAAAAGATGCATTGGGATTGGCATTTAAAGACATTCTTAACTCTACTGGAGTTAGACAACACGTGTCAGGACCTACTCATTGTCGTAATCATACTCTGATCTAATATTATCACATGGAATCAATGTGGATGCCGTTGAAATTCTGCAGCAGAGCGATGACATCTCAGATCATCATCTAGTCTCGTGTAAACTTCATTTTATTTAGCCAAGGCTGCAAGGCCGACTCCGTGTTACAAATATGTTAGATCTATCACTTCTGCCACTAAAGATTGCTTTATAAATAATCTTCCTGATCAGTTTCATCATCTCAGCATCCCAAATAACTTAGAAGAACAACTTGATATTGCGACAGAAACTTTTAACTCTCTTTTCCAGCACATTAGACACAGTTGCTCCTTTCCGTTTCAAGAAGATTAAAGAAAATAGTTTATGGTACAACGAACACACTCAGGCCCTTAAGAGAGCAGCCAGAAAAATGGAGCAAAATTGGAAGAAAACAAAACTACTGTTTTTTCGCATTTCATGGAAAGAGAGCACGGGTGCATAGATCTGCTTATTTTTCAACCCTATTAAAAGAAGACAAACAAAACCCTAGGTATTTTTTTGAAACAGTGGCTAAACTAAAGAAAAACAAAGCTTCAAGCCCAGACGTTTCCAAGCAGCACAGCAGTAATGACTTTATGAACTTCTTTACTAACAAGATTGATAATATCAGGGAAAAAACTATAACTATGCAACCGTCTACGCATCAGGCAGCGCATTGTAGTCTCCCTGACGAAAAATTCGATTCATTCATTGCTATAGGAGAGGATCGTCAAACTCTTTAAATCATCTAAATTGAAAACATGCATGTTAGACCCTATACCAGGATTCCTCAAACTCGGTCCTGGAGGGCCACTGTCCTGCAGAGTTTAGCTCCAACCCTGATCAAACACACCTGAGCAAGCTAAGCAAGGTCTTCAGGATCACTAGAAACTCACAGGTAGGTGTGTTTGATCAGGGTTGGAGCTAAACTCTGCAGGACAGTGGCCCTCCAGGACTTCCAGAGGTCATAGATCCTCTTCTTAATATCATTAATTCATCTTTGTCATTAGGATACGTACCAAAAACTTTTAAGTTGGCTATGATTAAACCGCTTGGAAAAAAACGCAACTTGATCCCACAGAATTAATCAATTACAGGCCGATCTCGAATCTACCTTTTCTGTCAAAGATACTAAAAAAGGCAGTATCCTCACAACTATGTTCCTTTTTAGAAAGAAATGGTATCTGCGAGGATTTTCCAACAGGATATCCTAGATCAAAATCCTAGATTTAAGCGTTTTGCTCCTATGGTGTGTGGTGTGCCATGATGTGACAAAGACAGCACACCACACACAAACAGATTTTCAACCAGAGTCTCGACTGTGAACAAAGGAAATCTCACAAAATCTCGCGAGACTTCAGAATAAGCTTGGCGGACGATATGCAGGAAGAAATTGCGATGATAGTGTTTGGAATGATTTTCACAGAAAAACATTCGTGTTGTTGCCACAAATCAACAAGCTGATCCTCCATCTCTGCTGTCCACATCAATTTAACTTTTTGCAACGCCATGACTGCGTTTGTTATGCTTCCGTCTTCCATCATCTCGCTTTCTGATTAGATATGGTTTCGTTTCACGTGATAATCTCCAGAGCGTGCGCACGTTTGTCATCGGGGTTCCCCCCACACATCAGGATTTCTGATCGTAAATATTCAACATGTTGAATATTTACGATTCGCGACCGGGGGGGCTCCGACGTTCTTCCGAGCAGGTTCGGACACTCTTAACACACCTCACACCCAGGGAAAATCTGATAAGATAATCTGTAGAACCATCAAGATAATCGGGACATAGCTAGGATTGTCGGAAGGGGGAAAATCGGCCCAAAATCAGCCCGATTATCTTTTGGTGTCCAGCATTAGGCTGCATAGCTTAGATCAGCCGGAACCGGGAACCATAAATTCCTGTAATTCCCATAAATCCTGATGTACTTGGTACATCATAAGAAGGATGGCGTCTACGCTAATATTAGTCTCCACAGTCCGCCGGATCCAGATCTGATGAAGGACCATCACCTGGACGAGACGACAACGCAGTCCTGAAGTGTCTACTAGTCTCTCCCCTGCGAAGGCCTCCCTCCTTTTACCTCTGTATAGATAAAACGTTGTCGGAATAATTCCGGTTCGCTTGGCTACGCAGACGCAACAAAAATTTCTGTATTATACATTTTTAAGACCAGACAAGTAGTTTGTTGAGGGTTGATTTGTGAAGGACTACACGCATGCGCACAGTTATATTCAAATTCGCATACCTATGGACTGAACACGTGATGCGCATGTGCGCGCCGTCTGCGTTTTCGCGGGTTTGCATTTTCGAGGTTTGCGCAGAGATAACGGATAATCATTTGCACCTTCGAGCCTATTTCAGGGAGTGCGTTCTCGAGGCACCAGGCAGACAATTGGTTCATTAAGTTCACAATTAGTGCGGATGGGCGGCCGGAGCGCGTTAAAAGTTTTTGTTAGAACGGCATTAATGACCTCTAGACTAGATTACTATAATGCTTTACTAGGTGGTCCTGCATCCCTCAATAATCAAGCTACAGTTATTTTAAAATGCAGCTGCTAGAGTTCTAACAAGGTCAAGAAAATATTGTCAAGAAAATTGTATCATATCTTCGCTACACTGGTTACCTATAGTTCCTTATCGATTACAATGTATTGCTACTGATCTTTAAGGCCCTAAATGGTTTAGCTCCTGTGTGTTTAACTCATCTTCTGTCGCGCTACAATCCATCATGCTCTTTAGGGTTACAAAACTCTGGACTTTTGATAGTACCTTGGATATTTAAGTCCACTAAAAGAGGGAGAGCATTTTCAAATTTGACTCTTTAACTCTAGAATAGCCTTCCTGATAATGTCCAGGCAGGGCTCAGACACACTCTCCCAGTTTAAACCTAGATTAAAGACATCTCTTTAGCCAAGCATCTCATAACCTTGCACTCCAGTTATATCAGATCAAATGCGCATGACTATCTATTGCTTGAAATGCTATGAACAGCAGCTACGATAATTATTTTCCATTTGCATTCTGGGTATCTAGAGATTACGCAAGCTCCAGTTTGGATCCAGCCTCTTATGAAGAATAAAACAATATGAAGCAAAGCAATATGTATTGTGAAAAGCTCTATACAAATAAATGTAAATTTAATTATATTTTTGAAGTAGGCTATATTACAATAAAAAAGTTTTTTAAACTGCAATATTTACAAACATAAAAAAAAAATCTTACTAGTGCTACTAAATAGAGTCATTCTATTTAGGAAGTGTAGTAAGAGGCCAGTGTGACTTCAGATGGGGAAATGTAATGTAAGAGACAAAAAACAAAAAGCAAACCTGATAAACAACTGATGATGACAACAACAGAAGAAACAGTCTGTTTGTGAAAAGCCTCAAACAACTACAGGAATGAAGTGGCTTTCAGGTATACTCTCACCTTGTTCTTAGTGCATGCCAGGCAGCGTCCACATCAGCATACAAATTCTTCTCTGAAGGCTTCCCTGAGCTTGCCCCATAACCAGAGTAGTCATAGGAGAACACATTACAGTTGATGCGGGAGCCCAAGCCGATGTAGAAGCTACTCATCTGACCCAAGTCTACAGCATTACCATGGGAAAACAACAAGGTGTAGCGAGCGTTGGGAGAACATCGCACAAACATACAGGCGATTCGGTTCCCCCTAGATGTCCGGGTCATGAAACACTCAATGGCGTCCTTCTCCCGGGCAGAGTACTGCCAATCCGCACGCTCAGAAAGGTGGAGGGTCCAGCGGCTGCCACTCTCGTCACATATGAGGGTGTAAGTGGGCTCCGGAGGAAGGAAGGCCAGCTTGGAGGCTATTCTGCTCGGGCACGGTGGACAGCAGAAAAGGCAACACAGATCACTCAATGACAGGTGATTCATCCTTCACTTGAGAAGAACAACACAGCAGATTGGAAAATGAGTGGGGTGGAAACACAAAAAATTAAAATGTTTGTCTTAAAATGATCCTTCACACAAATGAAAATTCTCAACCCCATGTCGTTTCAAACCTGTATGGCTTTCTTCTGAGGGACACAAAATAAGATATTTTGAACAATATCTTCAATAAAAGTGTGCCCATGTCTATGTTGTTTTGAACCCCACTGAATTTAATTTTGTGGACACTGACATTTAACAAACAGTTTGAAAAAAAAAGAATCTTCTTTTGTGTTCCACAGAATAATGAGTGTCATACAGCTTTAAAACAACAAAATTCTAAATTATAACTTTAAAATTGTTGGGCGAACTACACTTTTAAAGGTGAAGCATCAATATTGAATCTGCATAGTAAGATGAGACATTGACATTAAAAAAAAACACATTACACACATCACCTTTATCATCTTATGCAGATACACCATGTATACAAACAATGCATTTACCCAATGAAGACATAATAGTTTTGAGTAAATATATGCAAACCTCTTATAACTCTTATATAAAAAATTCCCTGTGTGTGTAAACATACTTGGCAATAAAGCTCATTCTGATTCTAAACTGACAGAAATGTTGTGATCCAGTACAATGGGTGAGTCTTGTCCTTTAATGGTTTATTTCATGTAGCTTAAAGTAAATCAATATTAAAAGTCCACCCCACTGTATACACAAAAAATACAAACTTAACAGTATCTGGGATGAAACTAAACAGATTTCATTAACAAAAATGTTCAATATTCACCCCATCTTTGTGCTAATTTGATGTCATCATTAATAATGACTCTCAGACTTCACCCTGAGGTTAGCTTTGACGTGTATGCTATCATCGATCAGATCACTTTATCTGTGTCATGACAGCTGAAAAACACCCTAATTTTTTGGGTTTCTAGGCTAGGCTTCTTTGTAATAGCCAATGTTTTACAAACCTGAGAAACTTAACATCAGTAATCCAACATCACTGCTTCATAATATTCCGAACATTTGTCTAGAATTTCCTTGAAACCGCTTAACCACCTTATTAATAACTCAAAGTAGGGGACCACATTAATTTAATACCAAAAGAACCATTTTTAGGAATTTTCTTAACTTACTGGCAGACCATAGAATTTGGTAGCAGAGAGGAAAAAACACTGTGAATCAGACCCAGATCTGACCCATGATAAGCAAATCCCCACCCTCAATTTCATTAAGCAGGAAACCATCTTGTTTGGGGCATTTGGAGTTCACATTGAAGGGAAAGCAAAAGCTAAAATTATCATTACAATATTACATATCTCACACGACATCCCAAATAATTAGCTGAGGTTAATCTTTTTAGCATTATTATTAAAGGTCAAAATGGGGGGTAGGGGATACAAAAACCTGTTATTTCACTCACTAGAAAAATTTTAAAGATCATTTCCCCTTAAGTAATAAACAGACACTTGGCCCACATGAATTTATATTCAAATAAACATTAGAGACTTGTCACACTATATATATATGTGTGTGTATTTAATATTTAAGTATTCGATATCATAATCTACAGGGTTATTACAAGATGATATTTAGAAGGTATCAGTGACAATGACACTGAACTCAATTGAATCAAAAGTGTTTGCTAACTGAAACAAGCTTAGTTAACATATTAATTACATTATTTAATGAGTGTAACAGTTTAACTGAAAAGGCTGAAACGAGCTATTTTGTTAGCTCGGTCAGCTAAATTACCCGTGTTAGAAGGTCTTGAGGTTGGAATCGTTGGTGAGTGCAGAAACGCTCTGATCTGGTGAAGTCACAATACTAGATGAGTCAGATATGAGATTCCCTTAAACAGATCACTCCGTCCACTTAGCCAGATCAAGAGTCCATCAAAACCTGCCTCTGGTCCGTCCGATATTGTCAACATGTGGCCACTGTTTAATAGTCAAACGAAAGCCTGAATGTGTTAATACGGGTGTAACGTTAATACCTATTCTAATCCGTCCGGTACGGGTGATCTCATCTCTCACCAACTCGTGCCCAACGCTGGCTTTCTTCTGATTTTCTTGCGGAATGCCGGATATCACAGTCAACGTTGAACGCTCTATTGGCCAATCAGATTAATGGATAGATGTGCTCGACCAATCACACGCGTCCTCTCTGCACACGGATGATGTCGAAAACACAATAACATTGATTAATGATTTTGCCGTTATTTATCCATAACTCTATGTAATGCTAACTTTGTTGAGAATTAAATAGAGCTAAACAGTTTTTAACGTTTGCCGTGCTTTGTGAAGTTAGCAATCTTTCGTTTCGGTTTGAAGTTGAAAAGTATTAACCAATTGCTATTTACTTCCGCTATTTTCGCATTGCGTCAATGGTCACTTTAAAACGTGTGAAGCCACGCGGTTTGTTGTTTAGACGTTTTAAACGGTTACCGTTAATATAGTTCATATGTTTTAGCGTTAAAATGAGCAATCAAAAAGGTAATGTTTCCCGTTCGCGAGGCCAAAAACACCAGAATCTAATTGCCTTCAAAAATGACAAGTACGGTGCAAGCGCACAAGTTAAGGTAAGCTCGTGCTAAAATAAACATTGTGTCTTATTTAACGTTTATATAATATCAGCTTTGTTTCTATTGCGCTGTTTAAGTTATTTTTGCGTGTATTTTGTTTGAATTTTCATGCATCCTTCTGTTTCCAGAAAGCCAAAACAAAGGTGCATAATGGTCTTTGCCAGCACTGCAAAGGTGTGCTGGAGTGGAAAGTCAAGTACAACAAATACAAGCCCCTTACACAGCTACGAAAATGGTGAGATGAGCGAGGATTTATTGCATAGTAACGGATAATAGGCAAATAAACTCTTCCACAGTTAACCCCTTAACCTCTTCTGAATGTTGTTTCTGTGGGGTTGTTTTTTAGTGTGAAGTGTCTTCAGAAAACAGTGAAGGATGCCTATCATGTCATGTGTAAGCCATGTGCACTAAAGTTGGAGCTTTGTGCCAAATGTGGAAAGAAGGAAGAGATTGTTATTCCGTAAGTAGATTGACCTCTTTTTGAAACATCAGATCATGTATGTACAAATATGTGCAAATTGGGTATAGTGCACTACTTTAGTATAAATCTATACGTAATGTAAATATTTAATAAATAGAAAATATTTAAAACATGCCCTGCATTATTAAATTGTATAGTTAGACTGCATCATGTAATATCTATATCGATATATTTATATTTCCTTAGGGAGGCAAGGGAGGCAGTGTCTCCTTTAAAAAACTGGATGAGAAAATAATCAATATTACGCAAAATAAAGCGCAAATATTACAAAATGTGACATTAAAAAGTGTAAAAGTCACTCCTTTTAACAGACCCCCAAAAGCATGCTTGTGGGGGTGGTGGGGTAATTGAGAATGAATGGGGATAAGTTACGAGAGAGGAGGCAATGCCTCCATTGCGCTCTGATTGGATATTATCGGTTATGACTGGTTCCTGCGATAAATCCCGCATCTTGTTTTCGTGCACGTTTTCGAATCAGCCTGAATGAAGACAATGATGGCATTAATGGAAAGACTAATTAAAAAGTAAACAAACAACTCGGCCACTTAGATATCACCGCTTTGTCATGTAAAAATCAAACTTGAAATGGCCTGAAAAAATTACTGTGGGGGGTTTTAGTAAGAAATCAGTGTGTTCAAGCTTGCCTTGATGACTGAGGAAAATAAGTTGATTTATTAAAAAGAAAAGCTGAACATTAGTTCACAAATAATATATAGTTTTATCTAAAAATCTGTTTTATCACAATTTATACATCATTATGGCAAAAAAATGTTTGTTCAGTGCAGCACATGTGCCATCTTGTGGACATATACAGTAAATGGTGAATTTATTTTTTACAGCAAGATATTCATATATTTCAGGCTACTCACTGCTCTGTTATTCCTTCAACATTGCATTATTAGAGACACTTCATTAATAAGATTATTTTAAATTAAATCTGTTGTGTATATATCTTGAAGTGTATTGAACTATTTACTGAGACAAATTAAGTGTGCTTAAGAATTCACTGCTCAGCTTAGAATTCAATGCTTTCAATGTATCTGACTGCTTTTTTTTAGGCTTGACCAGGAGGAGGAGGAAGAAGGAAAGGTGGAAGCAAAGGGGCAGGAAAAAAGAGATGAAGAAGAGGAGGAGGAGGAGGAGGATGAAGATTTCCATGACATTGGCACTAACAATGATGAATTTGATAGTGATTAAGAAGCCGAAGTGAATTAACATTTGCCATCTTCTGTATGCATTACCAGTAAACAGCTAAACCCACGAACACTGTATCTAAAGGAAAATGAGGCTGGATATTGGACATATGCTTACCTGTTCACCTGCTGTTAATTGGGGAAAGACTCCCAGGAGATGTTTTCCTGTTGGCTGTAATGATTGTTTTTTCCCGATCTTGACCACTTGCTATGATCTAGCAGGAACTGACTCAGAAACCCTCATTCTTGTTTTTAAGTAGATATTTCTTTAAAATCAGCAAAAGCGCACTGAAAAAGCTGTTGCCAGAATAATTCAATAAAAATACAGTAAAAATTAACATTTACAGAATGAGCTGTAACTTAAAAAAAAAAAAAGGTAAATCCAACAGCCCTTTCCTTCTGAATTAGCAAGGCCATGTTGATGTAACAAACATAAGATGTAACAAAACCCTTATGTACATAGATGATACAAAAAACAAAGAAGAACCCAAATAAAATTTAAACCATCAAATTTGAAGCGTCACAGATAATTCAGGAAAAGTCAGTTTACAGCTTTTCCTTAACAATTACAAGATGATTTGCTCTTTTTACTTCAGAAAGTAGTACGTTTAAAGCATAGACTGTAAAAAAATAAAGGGATACTCCACCCAAAAATGAAAATTCTGCCATCATTTACTTACCCTCAAGTTGTTGCAAACCTGTATGAGTTTCTTTCCTCTGCTGAACACAAAGAAAGATATTTTAAAGAACGATTGGAACTTTGGCACCATTGACTTCCATAGTATTTTTTATTTTTTTTTGTTCTACTATGGAAGTCAATGGTGCCAAACAACTGTTTGGTTCCAATCGTTCTTCAAAATATCTTCCTTTGTCTTCAGCAGAAGAAAGAAACTCATTCAGGTTTGCAACAACTTGAGGGTGAGTAAATGATGACAGAATTTTCATTTTTGGGTGGAGTATCCCTTTAACAGTATTTTACAGTAAAATTACACAAAATGTTATAGGTTAGATCTATTTCAGTTTTTTTTTGTGTATAGTACGGGAACTTACTATAACCAGGTTTTTATTGCCCCATTTTCACAGTCTTTTACAGTTAAAATTACAATAATTTTTGCAGTGCCATCCATGTTATTATCTGTTATGAATGAGAGGCTGTGTGAATGCCTCACATTATATTAAGTACATTTGGTCTTCAAAGTCTTCATGTATATAGAAACAGAAGGTACAACAGGTCCATTTAATAAACAACCTACAAGCAAATGCTGACATGCTGCTTATACAGCACAAATTTACACCACCATTGTCCTGTTTTCTGTTTCGCTGTCTGATTTTTATTGGGGTTTTTTTATAGCTTTTCTTAAAAATCCTCTTGCATATCATTATGAGCATTATATAATAATTTGATATAAACCTTAAACCTATATCCATTAGATTAACTAATTCCAACTTTCAATTAATTGCAATACAATATGAATACAATACATTGTGCCTAAAATATTTTTTAAGTACATAAAGTAGTAGTTAAAGACCAACACAGATCTGTAGAATAACTTTTCTGAATCAAAAAAGAGTGACAAGTAACATTTTAAAATCACCATGTGATCTCGGAGATTATGCTGAGATGGTCAACTATTTCAAGATTTTCAAGGGGAAAAACTCATGATTTTTAAGGAACTTAAACAAGAATAGTCTGTTTCACCCTTTGTGCAGCATCATTCTGAACCACTATGTCAAAGTTCTGGAGAAGTTAATAACATGAGTGTCAGAACAGGATCCAAATATAGACTGTTTAGTGGAATATAATGTCAAAATCTTTGCGTGCACAGATTTCTTCATTTCTTTTTTTAATTCTTTTTTCGAGTTAATACAAGCCAAAAGGACAGTGAAAATGCTTTCAGTGGCTGTTTTCCATGTTTCTTTCATTTCCTCAATAGCAGAACTTACTGAATAAGTTCAGCTATGTGTGCAGGTGATTATGTAACCATTTCAGAGCAGGTCTCATGTGCAATGGACAATAAATGCCATTTTATTCTGTCTCATTGGCAATGCCTTTTATTTTTTGTCTGTTATGTAGTGTTTAAGTATAATAGTACTTAATAGTATAATATATAATAGTATATGTTTGTCTACTTGTTATAATATTCGTTGACTGTGTCAGGTGAGACTGTGATGTCCTAACATTGCATGAATCATGTCATGTGTGCTCAAGTGTTGTACAGTCAAGTTTCCATGACACTGTTATTGTTGAGTAAGTGATTACAAAATGGCAATTGTTATAAGAAAAAAAAAACTATTGGTGTTGATGAACGAGTCCCCCATCCGTGACCACAATTCTTTTGAAAAGTTCACTAATCATAATTTTTGTTAAAATAACTATTATTCATCGTTTGTGCTGTCATTTGAAAATAATGTGCTGAATTCTCATTCATAATCTTAGCAAATATACATAGGCTACAGGAAGTCCTTCTAATTTCTTTCCTTCTCATATAATAGCACAACCAAACAAAACATTTAAAAAGCACTTTCAGTTCTATTCATTTGTTGTAAATGCAACAATATGATTGCACTGTTAAATTGATTATTGACTGTTGAATATGTTGTATATATAATTTATTATTTTTAATACAACAGTTTATTAAGATTCTGACACAAGACTCCCAGACAGCTGCTACTACTCATACATCACCATGGCCACGCGCAAGTCTTTGAAGACTTTGTAACATAGCCCAATGAAATGCGCTAGAAAGCACGCTTTCATTCTCTTATTTTTAAATTATTTTTATTACTATTATTACTTGTGTCACTGTAGCGATTAATTAATAAAAGCAAAATCTACAAAACTGTTGGTGCGAGATCACCAATTGCATAACGTCCCAATGGCGCATGAGAGTTTGATTGGATTGACGCTATATGACGCGCTTAGAGCTGTTGTAATGATTACCGGTTTATGACAATATACACTTCCCAGTAATTTTGCAATGCCTTGATTCATATATAAAAGTTCAGAGAAGTCACATTTGAACATTTGAGCAAATAATGGCTCAGAACGACACAACAGCGCGCATTGCGCACGTCTTCAGTGGAACATGTGTGCACTCCACACCGCGAGCTGCAGTCGAAATACTGGAGAACTGTGTCTTGGGAGTCGACGATGAGGGGAAGGTTTGTTTAAATCATTTTCATTCACAAATCGTGTCATTTCCTTTTGATTTTCATTCGAAGATAAAGGCTGTCCTAATGTAGCCTATATGCTATAGGTCTACGTGTGTATATCAAAACACTTGTTTCTAATTGTTGTATTTGTTTTCTCTCTGAACAGATTGCATTTATCGAAAAAGATAAAGATTTGGTCAGTCTTTCAAAAATATGGGGGTTTGAAACTTCAGACATAAAACAGCTTGGACAAACGTGAGTACATTTATCAATACGAATTGCATATAGTCTAACAATTATAAGTCTTGCATGATCAGGGTGCATAGTCACTTTTGCATTCAGAACAACCATTCAGCAGTAACAACAAAGAGACAATGCCAAGCTTTAAGATCAACATATTAATATTTGTTCAAGCAAGAAATCTGTCCATATCCATTGCTCTTCTGCAGTATCAGTGCTTAATTTTACTCATTTAGCATTCGATTTTGCTCTTCAGTGAGTTTCTTATGCCAGGAATGGTTGATACACACATCCATGCGTCTCAGTATAGCTATGCTGGCACTGCCTTAGATCTGCCTCTGCTGGAGTGGCTCAACACTTACACTTTCCCGGTGGAAGCAAAGTATAAAGACTTGGATTTTGCCAATAATGTCTACACTAAAGTTGTGGTAAGTTTATTTAAATATACTAAATAAAGTCTCATTAAACTAATAAAACTGGCAAAGGCAAATTATTGATATGGAATGCATACCATTTTATTTTCCTTTTTTTATGTTGACTGTTTGGAATTGAAGAGAAGAACCTTAAAGAACGGCACCACCACTGCGTGTTATTTTGCCACAATACACACTGATGCCTCCCTTCTGCTTGGAGAACTCGCAGGTACAACACATGCGATCAAGGACACACACACACACACACACACACACAAACACTGACTGACAGAATTTCCCCTGTGACATGGTTAGCGTCTGGGGTGGCAAACATCCTTTCTCTAACCTTTGGAGTTTGCCTTGCTTTATCCTATATTGTCTTAGTTCTTGTTCCTGCCAGTCTGCTGAGTAACTGCATTTATTTATATTTGTTTTTTTATATTATGTAATGAGATTGATGTGACCTATCATTCTGTGAAGTAAAATTATAATCCGTCACTTTAATATTATCTAAAAAAAAAAAAAAAAAAAAAAAAAAACACTGTCCACTATGTATTTAATCATTATCTCACAAGATACTAAATCAATCATTGATTTGAGATTGTGATATACAGTATTTTCCCCCCTTTTCCACCAGATAAGTTTGGACAGAGAGCTTTAGTGGGTAAAGTTTGCATGGACTGCAATTCTGCAGTTCCACAGTACAAAGAAAGTCCAAGTGAATGTAAAGTGGAGACAGATCGGTGAGTTTTGGAGGACTGTGTGACTATACTGACACAACAGGGTCAGTAACCTCATGTACATTGTAAAAAAAAGAAAAAAAAGTTGAATTAGCTTTAAAAAAAAATGCACCAAGTTGCAAAGCATTTTTTATTTTTCTCGACTTCAGAAGTTGTAGTTGTGACAACTCATTTTTGACATATATACTGGTTATTCACTCACCCTTCTTCAGCACATACATTGAATATTTGTTGCAAGTTAAATAATAAGAGACTAAATTAACAATTATTTTAATATTAAGAAGAAGATTTCACACACTGCATGTATCTGAATTCTATAGATTAAAAAAATCCTTAACAGTTGCTAAAGGGGTGGTTCAGGATTTTGTACATCGGACCTCATTTCCAAGTTACCCTGGGTGTTATTTATCAGTGGAGAGTTTTCAAAAAAATTCATCCAGTCCTTCCAGTTGCATAGTTCGCCGGTGCTAGGCTAGCGCGAGTCAACGGTATCTGCTAGCCTGCCATTAAAAACAGTTTTACCCACTCCACAGTACACAAAAAAACAAATAAATTATAACGCCAGATTATCGATGTAAATGTCTGTTGAGAGCATAATGTTAGAAATCAAACTACCCTTTCATCGCATTGCAGTAGTTATACTTTGTTCTCCGTATTTATTAGCACAGTCTACGACTACAGCA